CTGTCACTTTCTCAACAGGTCCTGGGCAACCAACCTAGGCTTTTCATGAGTTCACTGGTGAAGTATATTTTTAAGATTCACGTCTAACCCTGTGGACTTTGCTGTGGGAACACAGGCAGCAGAAGGGGAAGAACCAGACCCAGCTCTGTAGGCACAGCATCATCACTGGCCGCTGGAGACAAAGGCCAACAATTCCCACTTGGCCTTCTGTGGTCTCTGTCCGTGGCAGAACTAGTTACTTCGCCATCTCCCTTATTCCCTCCTTTGATTGCTGCAAGCCCCGCCCCCCATACAGAGAGAAGCCTAGACCCCCACAAAGGGTGCATAAATGGTGGGCAAAATAATTGTTCGTTCCTTAAAGTTTGACTGAAGACCCTCAGTCGATTTTAGAAACCAAGAATTCAAAAGCCATTGGACACTGCCTAAAAGCAGTAGAGGTGGAGGTGGCAGCATGCAGCCACGAACACACGTTGGCTTGAAGTGTTCTCTGCACGGTTAGACAGAAACGCGCAAGTGACCAGACGTGTACGCTTTGGCTCTCTCGGGCACCTGAGAGTCCTGCCAGTTTTCTGAATAGATGCCAAAAAGGAAGCCAGCAGCTGTGTGAAAGTGCACTTGCCTCTCTTGGGGAGGACTTTCTGCCTTGCTGGTTATTTGCTCAGCTCGTGGATGCCGAGCCAAGAAGCCTCTGTGCAGAGTTAGGAAGAACCTTATTAAGAGGTACAGGTATTGTGAGCACAGGTGGAAGGCTGTGCCCGCACTTTGAACTCTTTAGTCTTCATACTTGAAGAAATTTGCTGACTTTCTAGTTCACTCAATTCCAGGCATGCACACCAGGGTGGGTGTGAGTGTGGGTGTGTAGATGTGACTGGTAGGGACACACGAAGCCTGTGGGCACATCCCAGGTTATCGTATCAATTCAAAGTGCCACACACATAGTTGAGAGAGAGAGAGAAAAAGCAATAGTTTCCACCTTAGGAGCATTTTAGAGAAAATCAAATATAAGGGAAAAAACCCCTTCTTACTTATTAAATTGAATTGTGGTCTAACAGTTTGCCACATCCTGTTAAGGGACATCTGACTAAGTGAGCAGAGGTTCCTCTTTCAGGCAAGTCGTAAGGGTCACATGTCACCTGTAGTTCAAAACACCTCTATAAAGAGAAGACATCGTGTCAGTGGAAAAGCTGAATAAGAAGATGGAAATTATCAGTGGAGAGAAGACACGGTGGGAACTCGTGGGTGTCATTGCCACAGCTGTATGAGAGAGAAAGCCACCCCAGAGGAACCAGCAGAGCCAGGGAAACGTGGGCTGACAGGGACCCAGAGTGATGACCTCATGGAAGAGAAAGTGGTATCAGGAAAAGAATGGGGCGGGGGGGGGGTCAAATTGTTGGGCAGCCATCTGTAAAGTACACTACCTCAGGTGTGTCCCTTACCCAGCTATGAAAGGGAAGTACAGGTGACTTTGCAGGCTGTATCACAGACATGTCTGTAGAAAAACTCCCCTCTGTTTTACAAATGGGTGTGTGGCGTATCATGATTGTAGTACTACCTACCCCAGCAGTTTGGACAGTTGTATGGAATGCCATTAGAAAGCTGGTGTCCATCTTTGATGTCCATCAGTTGCTGCCTGCCCCACTCCATCCCATGGGCAACTTTGGGGAATAAATGACATTGGAGGATGGCCGTGAATTTGGAATTTCATGATCCTAACTGGACTGGACGTTGTGAGCCTGGGAAACAGTGGATGTACTTCTAGCCACAGGCATCGGGGCAGGAAAGCTGCTCAGCCACCTGAACCCACACAGCAGGTGCTCAGGAACAGCCCTCCTAAGAACTCAGTGATAGCCCCGAACAAGATAGAGAAAGCAGAATAGACATTCGGTGGCCTACTGCTGCCTCCAGCTGGGGACCCGCATAGCTGCCGACCACTGAGTAATTTCCCATCTCTCAGGAGGGCTCTCCCCTTGAGGTTCAGGTGCCCCAGTGGGCCGCAGGGGGAAGCCCACAGCTCATGTTTCTTCCTCTTTTACCCTTAAAGCATTTTTGTGGTCTTGTCAGGCCCAGGAGTAACTAGAAGATTCTCAGCTGCTTTGCTTAATGTCTGTGAGCCGTCCCATCGCCCTTATCCCTCAGAACTCCCGTATCACGATTGCTCTTCAGAGCATCTTTTTGTGACATTGTTACCACATCTACCTTAGGCCACATGGTTACTCCTCAAACTTCCCTCTGCTGCCTCAGGCTTCTCTCTTAAATTGTCTTACATTACGCCTCAGAGCTCCGCTATATCAGCATTTCTCAGACCTGCCTTCTGTCAACATTACTCCTCGGTTCTCTCTCTCTCTTTGTGTGTGTGTGTGAGAGAGAGAGACATACGTACACATATGTGTGGGTGACATGCCTATGGCATGCAGGGAGGCTAGAAGAAGGTCTGGGTATCCCATTACATGACCTTGGGTCCCACTGAACCTGACCGTGGCTGGCAGCCAGCAAGCCCCCATGTTCCTCCTGACCCTGTACCCCATAGTGCTCACAGGTGTGCAGCCACACCTGACTTTTTAACATAGTTACTGGGGATTTGAACCCAGGTCTTCACACTTGAGTAGCTAATACTCTTGCTCACTGAGTCTTGCTCCCAGCCTCTCCCATGCTTCATTGTTACCCCTCATCCCTCCCTTGCTCGGCCTATCACCGTTACTCCCCGCCCCTCGTTTCCCGTGCCTATGCCTTAGGCTTCCCTTGTTCTCCTCAGCGTTATTCCTCATTCCTCCTCCTGTCACCGTTACTATTTGTGAAACTTCTTTTCACCATTAAGCACTGCCAGTGGGAAGACTGGTCTGTTGGTCAAGCTGCCCTACTATGGGAGTGAGCAATAAAATGCTGATTCTCTCAGTGTAGTACGCTTGAGTGGAGTCTCGCTACTTGTATAGAGTCCGGTAAAAACGTGTCTGGAGCCCGTGACATCACTTTTGCCTCTGCACGGTTTCTCATCTCCTAGTCTTGGCATTTCACACTCTACAGAATCTTTCCCAGCCCCACACGTCCACCTGCCTCTCAGACACGGTCACCAGCCCAGGGCCCCAGGTGAGAGCGCCCTAACTCCGCCCCTTCCTGAGAACCCCGTCTGGCCAGTGAGCACCCAGAGCCCTAATGCACTCAAGGCTTAAGGACAGGGCAAGACAAATGGGGGTACCGTGGCAGTCAGACACAGCGGTCAGTCCCCGGAACAGAGATGGGTGTGTCCCAGTGGAGGCTGCTGTGACTCGTGTCCACCTTCACACAGAGCCCCTTGGCACACAGCCCTGTGCTTCAAGGAGATGTCTAAGCCCTTCTAACTTGGCCCCAAGAACCCCCAGTTCCAGGCAGGCCTCTTCCCACCAAAACAAAACAAAAACCGTAAGGAAGGTCTTTCTTTGTCAACTGTTCTTTGACGTGACACTGATGAAGTATGGTGTAAATCAGGTGCCTGGTACACGAGGGCTGCACAAGAGAAGGGGGAAGAGCAATGAAATGCCTCTTATGCCAGGGTATCCCTGCCTTATGCCGGGGAGCCAGACACGAGGCTCAGCTGAGGACGTTGGCAAGCGAGCAGTGAGAAGAGCCATGAGGACTCAGGAGAGATCCAGAGGGGGTCATGTGACTGCGGCTTGGAAGGCCCTTGGTCCTCCTGGGGTCCCTGCTGCCCAAGTGCGTCTCAGAGCCGTGCAGCACCCCGCACCCACACCCTGGGATCATGGAAAATGCTGGTAGCTAAGGAGCTCCCAGGGCACACTCCAGGGACAAGTTGAGTCCTGATTGCTGGTCCCAGACCAGCCTGTGAGCACCTGGGCCTTGTTATTCCTCATTAGTGGCTGTGAAGTCACAGGGCCAGAGGGAGCGTGCCTACCTTCTGGTATTTTCCACACTAAAGGCCGAACCCTCTCCATAGTGTGCTGGGTGCTGTGGTCAAAGATCAATCCTGGATCTCCATAGAGGGGTGGAGTGGCCCTACCCACCCCAAAGGAGCTGACCAGGAAGCAGCCATAGTTCCTCTTCATTTGAAAGTGGGACTCTGGAGGAAACAGCCCCAGAAACAGCAAATGCCCCCAGGCAGGGGTGCCCTGGAGCGTCAGTGGCCCTGATGCAGGGAGGTCTCTTGCCTGGCAGCCCCTTTCAGGCAAGCCTGAGCTCTGTTTGCCGCCAAGCTTCTTCCTTCTGCTATCAGTTCTCATGACACAATTCCTGGTTCCCCCAGTTGCACTTTATTATTGTTATTCTTAAAACTATTGCTGAGGAAGGGGTGTTGAAAGGCAATTTAGGGAAGGGAGTGGTGATGAAACGCACACCCCCTGATGGCTCCAGGAAGCGTCCTCAGACAGGCTGGGGCCTCCATGAGTGAGCTCCAGGGGCTTATCTAGGTGCGGGCGGGTGCTCCAGCCCATGGGGAAGGGAAGCCCGGGTGGTTCCGTGACGTCAGCGTGGGTGCCCTGCCTTCAAACTTTGTTAGAAAAATGGGACGTGGTGACAGCCGCCCAGTGACATTTCCTATCTCAGTGTGGATCAGGTGGCTGGTCAGAGAGAGGCAGGGTGGAGAGGGAGTGATGTTGTGCTGTTTGGCCTTCCCTAGCTTCTCTCATTTCCTGTCCATCTGCCAAAAATCACACACTGATAGTGACCATCACTGGTTTGTGGGGGCCACTGTGACTTGACCCCCTTCAGAAAAACAAGTGAAGTGCCCCAAACAAAGGGAGGTCCATGGCCATAGTAGGACCTACCACCTTCCGTCTCAGCCACCAAGCACATTCCAGGAGATATTACGGTGTGTGGATGTTTTGTTTTACATACTTGGGGAACATCCTGGTGTTGACTACTGCCCTGGAGATGGTGTTCTGGAGCATCTAAGCATCACAGACTCAATATAACCCATTAGAAATGTGGTTATTGGCATTCCCTGCGATTAACTTGGAGGCTGGCAGTAAGGCACCATTTCCCTAATACTCTCTCCTCTCATTTTCTTGCAGTAAATGAAATCATACGCAACGACCTCTCCAGCACGAACCCCCACTCCTAATTCAGCACGTTGGAGCTGGCAGAAGCATGGGGAATTGGCTCAGTGCAGACAACTGGGCTTCAGCAATCTAGACTTTGATGAAATATGGACCCACATCTGGTACCACTCAGAAATCCCAACTTACCGAACACTAGGAGCTTATGTCTGAAGAAGTAGCTCTCTAACAAGGATGCAGGAGCAGAAGAGGAGCCTGCTGCATCTTCAGAAAGAAACACCATCTCAAGGAAAGAGAAGGGCTGACCAGTGAGGCCGGGGAAGACACTGGCCCACGAAAGAAGGGCCTGTGTGGCAGACTGTCCCCAAGCCTGACCCTCCTGCCTACTGGATTAAAACACTGGAAGTGCCTTATTTAGTCTGACCACCACACCAGGGCATCGTGGAAGCAAGCATTGAATTTTCTACCATGAGAGTATTTGTAGGAGCCAAAGCTTTCTATAAACACTTCGTTAGGACGCTTTATCCTTTGTATTAATTGATAGGATTCTGGCAAGCTATGGCTTCCTACTCATTTCCAACTTTTCTGGCTGTCCCACCCAATTCGCCTGCCTTATCCAGTGCATATCAGAGGTCTTCCAATCTGTCATCTCCGCTCTTTCATAATCAGCTCCCTCCTCTGTGTGACTAAACCGTAGGTTTGTTAATAATAGCATGCTGGGATTTTTGCTCTTAATCTGGCTCCGAACATAGCGCAAGGAAATCGCAAAGCACGAGACAGGGTCCTGGACAGAACAAAACCTGCCTTTTACAGGACAGTGCTTGTGTTTGCATGCATGTATATATAGGCATATATTTATGCATAGATATTCAAGAACGGAGGTGGTAATGACCAGTCCGTGCCCAGCGGGGGCTTCCATGCTAGCAATAACCAGTGTCCACCTTGAGAATGCAGCTCAGAGTCCAGACCCGACTTTCCAGCCCCTTCCATCAGGGTCTGTCACCCCTGCACAGGCAGGTGGCATTTTCTTATCTCATGCAGTTACTTGAGCACTTTAGGCTGAAGCAGAGCTGTGCTCAAATGCCCATAGGCTACCAAATGGCAAAATCTGAAAGTGGTTGTAAATAACCATTAAAAAAGGAGTGTAATCTATTTGTTCAATTATAAGATTATTATTTCACAGAAGCCTTATAGCTCTCTGCTTCATCTAAGAAAACAATTACCAAAAACAAAAACAAAAAACAAAAAACAAAAACAAAAACCAATGTCTATATGCAGTCTGTGGGTAGTGTGTTTTCAGATTAGTTACTGGTAACAGATAGGCTGGTTTTGGCTTTGTGTAATTAGCTGCTTGTTACACTTACTAGCAGTGACCTATTTTTCCTATAACCAAAAAGCATGGTTTAATTAAAACATGTTTAATGATTGTGCCTTAGGAGTTAATGCCCCCTTATGGAACATGCCTGAATTGCACCTGTGGGCGGAAGAGCTGAGTTAGTCGGAGTCATGACCAGGTGGGGGAAAAGCTCTCTCACAGGAAGATGCATCTTTGAAATGTTCGTCTGTGCGATGGTGTCTTACCTTTCCCTGACTCACAGAAAGACACAAATGTCCGAAAGCCATATTGAACGTTTTCACACGACTGTGAAGAGCTGACGCTCGCCGCCTTGTCCACACACAGCTCCTTCCTGGCTGCCGGCGGGCTGCGTTCTGCCTGCCTCTAGTATGTATCCTGTGTTAATTAGCATCATGCATGAACCATTCTTAGTAGACTGTCATATGAAAGCAAGCGTTTGATATTTGTGTTGGCTGTCTTTGTAGTTAGAAAATGGATCCAATAAAGCAGTATTTTTTCTTTTTTCTTTTTTTTGCTGGACAATCTGTGTGAGAGTGATTGTGGGTCACTCTGCTTTTCTTCTCTGTTGCCCATGAATGTGGAGATCTGTACAAGTGCTTTACAACATGGATCTGGCTGTTTCTGTGTCATCTAAACACAGGAAGAAGTATGTCTTGCCCATCCTGAGAGGAATGAGTGGATATTTGGTGTTGTTCTCAGGAACTGTAAACAGAGCACTTCAAAAATGCTCATCCTGTCTAGGTGGGGAAGGAAGTTGCTTACGCCAAAATACTTTCACTTGGAGAGATTCTGGGTGAGGTTCTGACCACACACATGCTCTTCTGTGCTTTAGCAAGAAAGTGTGTGTGCTTCAGTTGGTGTGGCCAATGCCTCTCTCACGCCTCCACTTACTATTATTTTCTTCCACACACACCCCTCTTTAAGCTCTGGTGAAAGATACAGACTAAGGAGACATGGGCCTGCCATAGCATTACTGACCTTAAGTGTCTCCAAAACAGTATTCTGTCCCCAGGACTTCAGTGCCTTGCGTCCTTTGCTGAGAGGTTTCCAGATTGACTTAGAGTACTAAAGAAGCTTCCCTTTCCTAAAGTGATGCGTATGTGTCCACCTCTCCAGGGTGCTGCCTGGAGGTCATCTGAAGTAAGCTTTGCCACAAGCTCACAGGGCCTGTCCAAGGAGAATAACCCAAAAAGGGACAGAGGATGATGTGGGAGGAGGAGGAGATGGACTATTTATTGTATCCAGAATCTTTGGTCTGATAGTGGGTCTAAGGAAAGCAACAGACTTGTGTGTCTGCAGAACAACTCTGAGGCTACCTGTTTCCTCACTGTACCGGGCTGGCCCAGCTGGGCCTTGAGGATGGTGATTTTGTGCAACATAGGTGGTGCTGGGAGCTGCCCTTGCCAGCATGTGCTTTGTAAGTTCCCATCCCCCCAGTGCCAACAGTAAAATTTCGTATCTCTCCAAATACACACAAATTTACAAAACTATGGGTGGATTCTGCCCAGGAAGTTGGGTTTATGTAACACTATTAGTTTTTGAACCTTCTAGGTTGGTTTTGATAAACGAGGAAATGTTGGACAATCTCTAGATTCACTTGTAGAAAGGAGGTCGTGCAGGTCAGTAGGAAGCAGCCATGGCAGATGTGTGTGGCCCTCATGCCTCCCAGAGCAGAGCTGCCATTCTCAGGGTATGAGGGAGCCAGGAGAGGCCTCAGCTTTGCTGGGACTGCTGTGTCCTCTGGAGCACTTCCTGCTCTGCCGATGGATACTAGCTTCCCATAGAGTCTATCCTCAGTGACCAGAACCACACAGCAGCCATAAGGAGAAGTAGATTTCCTCAGACTTGTTGAATATGAGAAAGAGAAGCAGCAACACAGAATAACCCCACACCTGCTTCATTTCTGACCTGAGAGTTTGGGGTGAAGACCCTGATAAATACAAAACTGGTCCTTATGATCAAGTGCAGACTGAGTTATTTTCCCTGGAGTCTCCCAACCTGGGTAGCCAAGGTTTATTGGCAGGGCAGATAATCAGTCCCTGTTGATGGACAAGACCAGCCTGAAGTCTCTGACTTCACCCATGAATAAAGCTCCCAACCTGTTTGCCTCTGTACCTATACTTTGGATAAGCAGATATGGGTGTGAACAGGGTCTCTTTTCAGTGCTAATAAACTGTTTGAAGAATTTCTTCTCCATAGAGGGCATAAACTGTATGTGGGAGTATCTAATAGGAGATCTGTAGGGAGGAAGCTGAGGCAGACGTATAGAACTCTTTCATCAGCGTGTGTGCATGTATGCTTGTGTGTGAATGCACAAGCACGATTGTAGAGGGCAGATGATAACCTTGTGTTCTGGTTCTTCAGGAACCAGGGAGCCATCCACTTCGTTCTTTTGAGACAGGGCCTCTTACTGGCTTGGAGCTTGCCAAGTATATTAGACTGTATGGTCAGGAAATCTTGAGGGGGGCATCTTCCTATCCCTACCCACCCAGGGCTGGGCTTTCAGCTACGTATTAACGTGCCTGGGTTTTTTGTTTGTTTGTTTGTTTTTATTAAATATGGGTTCCAGGGACTGAATCCAGGTCCCCATGCTTACAAGACAAGAACTTCAGATAACTTTGTCTGTTTGTTTTTAGTGTGAAACACTGTGGCGTGTGTCTGTGTGTTCACAGGATGTGCGGCCCATGTGTCCAGTCCCAAAATGTCTTCAGTACCCCCAAAGCATGCTTGTTCCTGTGACCCCAGATTCAGACACTTAGCTCTGTCCTCAGTAGATGTTCTGGCTTGGGACGGTTGACATAAATAGGCTTCCACCACAGTGTCCTGTGAGCCTGGCCACTGTCTCCTGCCCATCTCTGTGGTGCGGCTACAAGGCAGTGCCATGAACCCACGCACGCAATGCTGTATTGTGTAGGCCCATTACCAGCCGCTCATCCCTCTGCGGCAGATGCTGACAGCTGCTCACCTCCAGCCTCCGTGAGCACTGCCGGTGTTGTGAATGCCCATACACAGGTATTCTCAGCTCTTTGGGACGCTGAAGAGTGGAGACCCTTGTCATATGGTAACTGAGCGCAAGCTTACAGAACTGCTTAAATTATCCATCCCCGACACAGACCCGGCTCACTAACCTAATTTGGAATTACACATGTGAAGCACATCATATTTATAACTCTCTATGCCAAAAAAGAAATTAAGTTAGGTCAAAGATGACTGAACGTTTGCTTAGACGGAAGCTGAAAGCAGACCCTTAGCCTGCCTGTGGCGGCTCTTACCAGAGCTGGCCCGTTTAAGTTTCTGCCGGGAAGCTGGGACCACAAGAGCTATGTGAGTCATGCCTATGGTGCCAGCTGAGCCCCTGGTGACATTCCTTTCACTTCATACACAAACTAACACAGTGGAGGAAAAAAAGCCATAGTAAAGGCTTCCAGAGCTGGGAGGAGCAAGCCTGGGGTGAAAATGTCCTCAAATGCCAGTCATTGTGGATATGGCAAAAGAAGCAGCCCCGGTCCTTACACTCTTCCGGTGAGGCACAGAGCACTCTCTGTTTCTAGGTAGCGTTGTCAAAAAGCGTTCTTACCTTCTCCAGGCTCTGTCACCAACAGGCTTTCAGACATGATACTTGGACCCTCTGTTTGACAGTGCAAGGGCTTGCTCCCAGAAGCCTTCCTTTCATCTAAAGAGAAGGATGACACAGGTCAGGATCTATCTGAGGCTGACCTGAGTCATTGGAAAGGACCATGGTTGCCTGGTTCCCTATCAGCCCATCCCTCCCACCCTCCCATGCCACCACCACCCCCCATTGTCAACTGGTTTAGTCGGTTTTCAGATTCCCAGAATGCCTTACACTCACACTGCCCATCACGGATAGGGGCCACCACACTAATCCAGCTTTGTCATCACTGGCCAGAGAGAAGGAGAATCATGGCCCTACGATCACTGGTTATGGGGCTATTTAGCTACCAAGAGTCTCCCTTCCTTCCTAGCCATTTGCTTTCAGAAGTAGCAGTGGAGCTCTGAACTCCCTGGGGACCAGGGCTACCAAATGGCTCCAGACCCCCAGTGTTGTCTCTGGCATGGTCCTGTACAAAGTATAAATTGCAGTCCTTATGTAGACTGTGAGGACTAGATATAGACAACTGCATCCATAAGCCCTGTTTGGGTGTAGGGACCAGGGTGTGAGTGGCTGAAACCACAGACCCTCTGTAGGCACTGGAGCCTCAGTGTGGATGGCTGCATCCACAGCCCACTATGGACACTGAAGCCTGGGCATGGGCAGCTGTGTGCACAAGCCCTCTGTGGACTCTGGGATCTGGCTTTCTTTAGCCCATGCTTGGATGCCATTATTCAATGCTGTGAGCGGAGATCTAATTAGTGATCTTTGAGGAAAGTCTTCCAAACTTCAGCTTCCTCATGCAGACAAATGGAGTCAGTGATAAGGCTGCACCCATAGGGGCAGAGAGCTTAGTGGGGGAAGGAAGAGCTGAAAGAAGCCCCACAGTGGCAAATCTTATCCCCTGAAACCCCTGACCCCTCCCTCAGCATGAGTCAACTTGGTGCTACCTGTTGAAGAAGTGCTGTAGACAAGACATCCAGAGACACCAGACTCAGGGAGGGCAGGACAGCCTCATCCCATGGTCATGAAGGATGCTCTCCCTGGGAACCAGCCATTGTGTTCTGAACGATTTGGACCATAAAGGAGGCCATATGGAGGTGAACACTGCTGGGGGTCAGCTGACAGCAGCCAAGAAAGCCAGAAGAGAAAGGATAAAAGTCTGGGCTAGTGAGCAAGTGTGAGGTTTCCTGCCCAGACTTGAAACTCCCTAGTAGACACAGACCAGCAGGGACCAGCTGGCCCTGCCAAGCTCTGCCCTCTATAGAATAAGGGTTGTCCTGTGAGGCTATTAACTGTTGAGGTGTGTGTTGCATGTGGGCAGAGAGGTAGCAGTCTGGGGACTTGCAGAGCTTTGTGTGCTATGACAAGGGCAGGCTGTATTCTCTGGAACAAGGGGGCTGCAGGAGAATAGCAATGGTCTTTGTCAGATGGCCTTGTGAGAGCAGAGTGTCAAAGAGCAGAGATGTGATGAGGAACTGATCAACCATAGGAAAAATCACTATGAAGGACGTGCCTGGCCTTTTACATGGTTTCTGTAGGTTTGAATTCATGTCCTCATGATTGTCAATGCAGTGTGATATGTCCTCAACCCTTAGTTTATAACTTTGGTACTTTCTGGGCATCTGCCCATCTCATCTAAGTTGGAAACATACAGTGCCCTAAGAGAATCCACAGCAGTGACCTCTCTTTTACCGGTGACCTTGGCTATTTGAGTTTCTTTTGTTTCCCTCTGACCCATCTGGCTGCAGGTTAAGTTTTGTGGACGTTTTAAAGAAAGCTAAGGGAGGCAATGCTCTTATGGGAAAACTCACATATTAGTGCACCCAGAGTATCTTTTAAGGAAAAGAAGCCTAGCACACTCCCAACTATTTCTGCCCA